TGTGTGTGTGTAGGGGGTGGGTTCAGGAAGGTTCTCGAGGCTTTTCTTGCCCTGGAGACCATGACGTGAGGACCCAGCCGGAGCCTGCCTGGCGGCTGCCCTCCCCCTCCCTGGAGCCCGCCAGCCCGGCCCCAAGTCCCTGTCACCTTCGAGCCTCTTGAATGGCCGGCGAGGAGGACCCCCTCCCCTCCCTCATCCTGTACTTGGAAGGGGATCGAGGTCGGGACCTTTTGGGGCGGGGGACAAAGCCCCTTCCATCTCCAGCCAGACACGTGGGGGAGCCCCACAGCCTTTCCTACGCTGTATCCCGGGGTGGGAGCGAGAACAATCGGGACGGGGGCTAACGGCCTGGGGACCTTTGGGGCGCTAGCTCCCCCAAGGGCTCGGATATTTCCAGGGCGAGCGCGGGTTCTGGGCCCCGCGATTACACGCTGTGCTGCGCCCCTGGAAGGTGCTAGTCGGCGGGTTGCGCCCAGCGGCGCTTTCCCGAGTGGGAGGCAAACAGCCTCGGCCTCAAAGAGGGAAGGAACCCTTTTCTTTCTCCGTCCACATTTGCAGATTTGCTCACCCCCTCTCCACCCGCTGCCCCCAATTCTCGGACAGTGCTCAGACGTGCGTCCTGCCTCTCCCACAGCTTGCCTTTTTTTTTTTAATCTCCTGTGTATCTTATTTGTATATAGTGATGTTAATGAGTAACTCTTGTGGCGCTGGTTGACTGTGGGGTGAATGGCTCACAATCTCTCTGGATTGCGTTGCCTATTACTCACCTGGCGCCGGTCGCAATCTCGCCGCGGGCTTTATGGTGGCGGCGGCCGCCGCGGAGGCCACTCGGGGCCGGCGCCTTCGCCTTTTTTTCCCCGGGCTTCGAGTGCCACCTATCTGTCTGGCCCACTAATGGCGCCCCGGTGGTCGCCGCTTGCTCAGCACCCCAGCGCCTCCAGAGTCCCGTAACCTGGGCGCGTCACCTTTGCCCCTTCTCATTCTCGCCACCCCCAGCTTGCGCTTCCCTCCTCTCCACCCCACCCCCACCACCGCCCCAGCATCGGAAGAAGCTGCCGTCGTCTCTTTCCTGAATATCACTTTCACTCCTGTTGGGGCCTCAGATGAGAAAAACAGCCCTTCCCGCCTCTGGGTTTCCAAAGAAAGTAAGGAAATTCAGTGAGGGGACCCTCTCTCCTAATTTTCTCGCCAAGTACCTTGTTGCTTGGTGTAGAAATTTCCAGCAGTTCCCCCCAACCCTGCAGCAGGGCAGGGGCTAACCTGAGTTCATGCTGGGTAGATGGAGAGAGAAAGGGTTACACCCTCCCCAATATACACACATCAAATCTCCCCTGGATACGTCCCTTTGCCTCGATGCTCTCTCTTTCTTACTTTAGAACTCTGGATCTCCCCGCCCCCCGGTTTTTCCACTGGCCGCGTCTACAGGGACAAAGGCCATTGCTCGCGGGAGCAGCAGTCCGTAAGAGCCCAGGCGGGGGTCAGCTACCACAGCCTGCAAGGCCAAGCGACTTGGTGATTTGTAGATTTAAGGTGACAAATGCGGGTGGGGGCCTGAGCCCTCCCGCCCCCGCCCCTTGGGAAGGTCGGCTCCAAACCGGGCAGCGCCCTGGCGTCTGAGACAGGCGACGGGGGGACGGGAGGGGGTCGCCTTTTGCTGCGCTTTGAGCTGCGGGTGAAGGCGTCCGGGTTTCTGCTGACCTCCCGGCGCTAATTGCAGGGGCCGAAGGGCGCGCTCCGGCAGAGGCAGGGGTCACGACCCTGTGTCTCTCCTCCTGGGTCCCGGCAACCCCAAAAAGAGCGGAGTGTGTGCACGCGGGAGTGCGTGCGTGCGCGTGTGAGTGTGGGTAGAGCTTCCCCCTGGATCTGCGCTGTCCTGGAACCCACCCTTTCTTTGTGGGGGAAAGTTCCCAGCGCGTAGGCCCTTAAAAAAAAATTCCATCCAAGAAGGAAAACCCTTGGTGTGACCTTTCGCCTAAGCCAGCAGACAGGCAGCCGCCTTCGGGCGCTGCAAGTGGCTTGAAACGCTTCGCGTCCGCGCGCTTTCTGCCTCGCTGGTTTCCAAATTTGACCTCACGGCAACCAGCCAAGAGAGGGAGGCTGTCGGGGTGTAGATGAGAGGCCGCGAAGCCGCAACCTGGGTTCTTAGATTCATAGCTGTAGATGTTCGCCCCTCTGGGTAAGCTCTTCGAGTGTCTGCGTTCAGCGGCCAGGTACTACAGGTGTTAGGAGCAGATGCGTGTGTGCGTGTGCGTGCACTTGTGCGTGCTCCATCTGTGGCCGTCTCTTTCAATTTGCATTTAGAAGTTCATGCGCAAGACAGTTCCGGATGTAGATGCATTTGGTTGTTTTATAATCAAGATGCGTATAATCAAGAAGTATATATGTTGCAGATGTTGGCGTTCAAGTACACGTAACAACAATAATAAAACTAGCTGGCATGGAAGGGCCACGTGCACGTGCCAGGCACTCAGCTAGGCACCCCGCAAACGTGATCTCCTTTAAGCCTCACAATTAACCCTTTCAAGGCCTGTGCGACTTGGATCCCTGGTCTGCGAAGGAGGAAACTGAGGCGCAGAACTGTGAAGTCACTTACCCAAGATCACCTGAGAAACTGGAGCCAGGATTCCAACCGAAGTGGGTTCCAGGATCCACTTGGATCACTAACTCTAATTCAGGTGGAGGGGTCGGTGCCTGCAAGTGCCTATGTCCCGGCGGTAGAGAAATCTATAGGCGGGCGTGTTCTGATTTTTTGGTGTGTATCTCACGGGCTTTTCATACGGGAACGTTTTAATTTCTTCAGCCATCTGTCGTGCAGTGTGGACGTCCGGCATCCCACTGCCCGGCCCTCTCTCCCTCGTGTCGCGAAGGACTCGTCGGGGGCGATGATCGCAGGCTTGGGGCCTTTGTTCCCAGGCAGCTGAAGCTAGAGTAGGTGGGCCGGGGACAGAGCCCTGTTGAAAAATGCCTGCGGCCCGGGCATTGGAGCAGATCCCCAGTTGTCCTCTGGATCGGTGTCACGAGGGAGCAGGCATGACAACAGCCCCGGCGCGAGCCAGGAAAGGCAGGGTGACCCCGCTAGCTCTAGAGTTCCCCTTTCCCCGAGGTCGGAGAGCGAGACGCGGGCTGGGGGTGTCTTGGGCTTTCTCCTCCGGGCTCGGATCCTCCCCGGCGCCCCTAACACTGACTCTGTTCCATTTGCTCAGGCGCGAAGGCCGGGGCTGCAGGTGGGGGGACTCTTCCGGCACAAGGACGGTTCCCTCTTTCCTGGTTCCACCCTGTCGAGCTTCCAGGAACCTAAGCAAATTCAGTTTTTTTTTTCCTTTCTGCCCTCTCACTCTCAGGGAGCCCAGGGCTCGGTTCCTGGGGAGACAAGCCTACTGAGAAGTGAGAGTGGGGTGCGGAGGGCGTAGCCCCGCGTAGGAAAAGGGACGCCTAATTGTGCTCGAGCGCGCCCCGGGTTGCGGGGCCTGCGCAACGGTAGGCCCCGCGCACCTAGAGTCGAGGCCCAGGTCTGACTGCAGGCTGGGCCGGGGTGAAACAACACATTGCTGGGGTAGAGAGTAGGGGACCCTTTTTTTTTCTCCCCCTGCGCCCAAGACGTATGGCACTTTTCTGTCCCGCGGCTGGGATGAAGTCAGGCGGCCTCGCGTCTTGGATCTGGCAGTTTGGGTGCAGTCCCTGGAAAGGGGGGTGGGGGGCAGCTCAGTGAGAGGGCATTGGTACCGTCCGAGCCTACCGGCCCCCCCCCCACCCCCCAGTCCAACAATCCTGGTCAGCCAGTTTATTTGAGCTTTTGAAATGCGATCCCCGTGCCACTTTGGTTTCCAGCTAATGACCCGAGCTCTGGTTTCGGGTTGGGGAATTGCCCCGGGAGGAGAGGATGGCTTCCCCAGGCCCGCTCCAGCCAACCCCCGCCTAGGCGCTCCTCCCGCCGGCGCGGCGGGCCC